CCACCATCACCCACACCACCCCCATCACCACTCCAATGAGCTGGACCTGGAGACTATGCAGGCCGTCCAGTCCCTGACACAGGGGGAAGCCCAGGACGAAGAGACTGAACCCCAGCCACACCACGGGGCCTACCAGGACTGTGAGGAGACCCTAGCTGCCTGCCGGACCCTGCAGAGCTACAGCCACGCAGGGGAGGCGGAGGAGGAGGCCCTGGCCTTAGTGGAGGAGTGCGGGGCGTCGCAACACAGCAGCCCCCTGCCTAATCCCGCAGTGCCACCCCTGCCCAGTCAATCTGTGCGCTCGGTGAACAGTCCGGGGTTGCCCTCAAACATCATGGACACAACAGCAGCGGGGCAGAGGGGAGGCACGCCTGGCCCCACTGGAGCAGGGGGCAGTGGTGGAGGTGCAGGAGCGGGGTACACGCAGATCACGCCAGAGCATCCCAGTTCTCTGTCCGCTCCCTCCCAGCAGAACATGGAGACGTCGCCGATGATGGATGTGCCGTCTGTGTCGGACCACTCCCAGCAGGTGGTGGACAGCGGCTTCAGTGACCTCGGCAGCATAGAGAGCACTACAGAGAACTACGACAACCCCAGCAGCTATGACTCCACCATGGGCGGAGGGGGCAATGGAACGGGGAATGGCGGGAACGGAGGGGGAATGTCAGCTGCTGTAGTCGCAGGAGCTTCCACAGCTTCCTCCTCATCAGCCTCCTCTTCAAGCTCGGCCACGCCGTCCTCTTCCTCCCAGTCTAACAGCTGCTCCTTTGTGCCAGCCCCCAGCCTCACATCTTCCACAGGAACTGGAGGATCCCAGCTAGCGATGGGCAGCTGTAGCCTCATCCAGCAAACAGGACCAGGGCCCAACAGTGGACCAGGGGCCGGTAATGTAGGGAGTGCTGTGCCCCAGCCACCACCACCCCCACCGCCGTCCAACACTCCCAGCTGTGGCATCAAGTCTCCTCAGAGCTGTGGTGTGATCGAGAGGCCGCCCAGCACCAACCAGCAGCAACAGCAGCAGCAGTCCCAAAAAAAGGTTCCTCAGCAGCCCCCTCAGCAACAGCAACAAGCCCCCAACCCTCAGCCTCCACCATCAGCCCCACCACCACCGCCGCAGCAACAACAGCAGGCTCTGTCCCAGTGTAGCATGGGCAATGGCTTTGCCTCCACACCCATGATCATGGAGATCCCAGAGAGTGGAGGCGGAGGAGGGGGCCGCACCCTGTATGAGCGCATGGGTCAGGACTTTGGCACAGGGGGCTACCCCCAGCCCTCAGCAACCTTCAGCCTGGCCAAACTTCAGCAGCTCACAAACACCATCATGGACCCCCATGCCATGCCCTACTCCCATTCAGCCTCTGTCACCTCCTACGCCACCAGTGTTTCTCTTTCCAACCCTGGGCTGGCCCCTTCACCCCACACTCCCCTCCCTCAGGGCCAGCCCACTATGACCCCACCTCCTAACCTTAGCTCTGGCTCCATGAACCTGGGTTCTCTGCAGTTGCAGTGCAACATGCCCACCACCAACATCGGTCTGGGACCCCCACCACACACGCAGCGGCTACAGGGCCAGATGGCTACAGTCAAAGGCCATATTTCCATCCGATCCAAAGCCACTCAGCAACTGGCCCCGGCCCCACACCAGCAGCAGCTCTATGGCCGCAGCTCAGGGGCTGTGGCCATGCAGGGCACACCGCGCACCTTGGCGGTGCAGCGCGGTATGATGCCAAACCTCATGCCTACGCCAGCACCATACAATTCCATGAACATGACGTCCCTCAATGCCATGTCAGCTGGCTACCGAATGCCCCAACCCATGATGAACAGTGGTTATCACGGCAATCCCCCTTACATGAATCAGCCAGCCCAGTACCCCATGCAGATGCAGATGGGCATGATGGGAGGGCAGGGTTACCCGCAGCAGCCTATGCAGCCCAATCACCACGGCAACATGATGTACACTGGCCCCTCCCATCACAGCTATGCTGGTGTCCCAAAACAGTCACCTTACATGAGCAGATGAGCAGCCAAGAACTGAAAAAGGAGACATGAGGCCAGAGCTGATACTCGCTGTACTCTAAATGTCCATTACTCCTGTTCACCCTCTCCAGTGCCACGACAGGCACCAGTGAGTGAAGGTGGTTGGAGACAGAGAGGGTCTTTGGGTTTCCTGTTTTTCTATGTTGTCATTTTGTCCCTTTTTATTTGGGCTCGTTTTCCCTCCCCTCCCAGCTGGCTGTGTATGGGAGCAAGTCGATAGGATTCCGGGCTGGGGTGTGTACATGGACCTCGGCCGTACCATGCTGCTTCAGGCCAGGCCTACACAGTCCTCTGTAATGTGGTTTCTCACAGGCCCTGGAGCCTCCTCCTCCTCGTGATGTACAGGAGGAGAGTAGGGGAGGACAAGGATGACGAGGAAGATGCACAGAGAAAGACAATACAGGAGTACCTTGTCTGTTGTCTGACTGCGAATGAAAAAACAGTGGTTAACTGAATATATTCAACCATGCACACAATCTTTTAATTGATATGGGAAGCCTTACCTTGAAAAAAGAGACAATGAAACATTGTAGGCGGACTCTTGTTTTGTTAAACATAATGTTGAATCCTATTTTTGTTGTCGTTGTTTTTGTTGATTGTTTTTTGAAATACTCGTGTGCAGTCCGACCTCTTATATGCTTTGGTCTTTATATGTGTGGCATTCTGAAATGGTGATACACCTCCTTGCTCTCTCAGAAATACCCAAACATCTCTGTGGCCAAGCGGTCAGACAGCTTTTCACCTAGTTCCAGAAAAGCAGAGGAGTAGGGCCTACAGTGTTTGAAGTGTCGAGTTGTTTCTAGAGTCTGCTTCCCAGATGGACGGTGTTGTACCAAAAACAGCAAAGACGCAGAAGGGAGGAGCGCGTTACTGTCTTATTATATGTCCATAAATGAAACAAGTAGCATTATTTTCCAGTTTGCTGCCACTCTGAAACGTTTAGATGTAAATATTCTGGTACTTCCCAATATCCAGCGCACACACACACACACACAAAAATACACACTGGCTAGCTGTCGCCAATTGGTGGCTAGCTCAGGAAAGTACAACATTCAGCTGTTCTTGTCCACACTCCACTGACAGACGGTGTACTATGTCAGCCTTTTTTAGCAGTTTAGGGATTGCAGAACAAACTGTGGGTTTTCCATTTGACTGCTTTAAGGAAAGTCAGTTAACTAGCTGACCTCCCCTCCTTAAGTGTTAGTGACCCAAAGAGGTCGAGGAGTCTGCTTTTGAATGGTGTATTTTTTCTGTAATTTTTTTTTATTGTATTTTTCTTTTCTGCGAAATTCTGCACTCCCATTGGCTAGAAATATGGCGGTAGACAGTTATCCTTTATAAAAGGTGTGCCTAAATGCCTGATCTAGTGCATGGTTTGGCCCTCACATAGAGGCACACTCATATGAAAGCAGGGTCGGAGGTGAAGTGTTCGAGGTCCTGTTGGTAATGGCGTTCAACTGGCAGGGGTGAAACGGTTGACCTTGTTGCTCCATGTACCAGTATTCAAAGTCAAAAGAGGAGTTTTCGTTTTCTTACAGACCTGACATTGCATACTTTATTTGTGTGTATTGTTCTGTTCTGTACTTATTTTTTGTTGTGTTTCTTTCTGAATTTTATCAGACTGGGCAGCTTTCTTTTATGACACAAGCTGACTCTTTTTGACTTTAGAAAACCTATTGTAGAGAAAATGTTTTTTCTATAATATAAAAGGAAACTCTGACATTGATATTGGTACTGTCATTTTTTTCACTTCTGTTTCAGGAAAAAAAAACAATACATATTTTTTAGCTCGCCTCTTGGGTAATAATTACTAAGAAATTCAAAATTTAAAAAAATTACCACTCACTTTTAGTGACTTTAAGATGCCTTTAACCTCTCCATTCCATCTCATCTCTAGAGTTTTTCTATCTTTGTGTAGTATATTAATGCTATTTTAAACAAAAGGACTACAAATATCTAAAGGTCACTTGGCATTCTTTTCTTTATCTTTTTTTTTTTTTACTTGTGTGTGTATAGGATGACTTCCTTACATTTAAGAGGCATGTAAAAAGGAGCTCAGTATATTTCTGTCTGTTTATATCGCTTCCCTTTTTGTATCCTTTGTAATTGTACATGTTGCGTTGTATGCTAAGAGAGAGCGCAAAATAAAGAGAGGAGTGACAGCTGGGCACAGTGAAGGTTGATTTGCGCTCAGCGGCCTCAACTCTCTACTCTGTCCCTGTATGTATTTCCATTTATTCTGTTTTTTTTTCTTTCTTTCTTAGCAAGTACTTTCAAAGAACTCTGTACATTTTAACATAAAATGAAAATAAATTATGTTGAGCCATTCATGTTTTCCTTGAGCTTTTTAAGGTGTTCGTCTGACTCAGATCTACAATTAAATTCGTAGTTGTCATTTCAATTTACTCCAGATTTATTCCAGATTTGCCCCAGAGGGATAAGTATACTAAGTACCATGCACGTTTTCCAAAATAGTGAACCTTCTTGTTTAAAGTGAATATCTTATCTTTGGAAATGCAATTTTAAAGCGCAAGAGAGGAATTAAGCACTTTAAGTACTGGACAAATTGTGGCAACCTTACATACAGCAGACAAATGCCCCACAAACTGTTTATCAAGCTTTCTTCATAACACTGATACTCATGACTACATAAGCAACAATCAAAGAGCTTAAAACTCAAAATGAATGTGTTTCATAAGATCTGTGTGTGGGCTGGGGTTTAATAACATTTGACAACCCAAAACCCATCTGATTAAAATGCTGTTGCAGTTTATCTCTCGTATAAAACTCTGGCATAAAATAGTGTATTTATGTAGAACCCCATCTATCATAGCTCATTGAGGAAATTGATTTCAGGTTCTTTAAATACTGTTTATTTTCAGAATTTATATTGAAGCTGCTGTGCATCACCTTTTAGGCCCCTACAACTATTGAGGATGAGGGTGGCTTCTACCTGAGTTTTGGTTATGAAGGGCTTAGGGTGTGATTTATTCTGCCTAGTAGCAGATGGTTCAGGGAAAGACCAGATTAGACTAGTTATTAAATTTCTTTATTCATTCTACCCCAGTTAGTGAACAGTAACAATGGCATTGGTTTAGTCACTTATGGCCTTGTTTCGACCACTTGTGGCCACTAGATGTCCCTGTGGAATGTCAGTGTGTTATGTCAAAAAGCACTGATGTGAAAGTTAGCTCCTCACCCAGCTTCACACTTTATGTCCTTGGATTCTGCTGGGTTGTGAATAACATGGTCTCACTTTCAATGTGATATCTCTGCACACACGGGAGTCACACTTGTCAGATCTATGTAATATAAACGCTCAGTCTCTGATCCAATGATGTCACTTGAACTGATGTCAGTCCTCCTTATTTCACCAATACACTGAAGGTGTTTGCTTCTAAACTTCTAAAACAGATTTTGATCACTCATAATATGCTTCCATTTTGGATGATAATTACTGTATTCACCTGGTGTCAGTGTAATCATTATGTAACATTGCAACTGCTCCCTGATGGGCTGATTGGTTTGCAGATCCTTGGTAAAAGCAGTGTCCCACAGAGAGGCAGCAGCTCAGAGGACTTGCTTCAGCAGCTTCATCACGCAGCATCCACACATACCTGAAACTGAAACGTTTTTCAAAATCAACACCAGAGATTCAGCTTTTTCTGCATCAAGAGGCTCCTAATGGCAATCGCAGTGTAAAACTGATCCCTATTAGTGAAGTGTTTAGTTCTCATGTCTGTGCTCTTCTGTTCCACCAACACTTACTGTAAGGATTCAACTGACTGACACACAGAGTAATAATTCTCACAACCTCATTGTTTGCATGTGTGTTGAAACTTTGTCTTAAGGGTTGCGAGCTGCATTTGGAAAGAAAGGTGGAGCTGGAGACCGTGAACAGTTTTCATTCCTCCATGTACTCTGTGAAGCTCTTAAACTCAAATAAAGCTTTATTGCTTTAATGCTCTTTTGCTGCTTGTAAATCATAGCTGAGACATGGTTGCTGTTAGCATGCACTATATGGTAGGACATATAGAGGCTGTGGTATTTGTGGCTATTTGCAGTATGTTTTCATATAAAGGCTATTCAACATATTGTGCACGAGACACTTTAAAGAAAACCGTGGACTGTATGGTGTGTTGAAATATTGTAATTATTTTCAAAAGTTTTACAACATAAGCCAGGTGTTGCATTTAAATACTGTGTCTTCGTTTGTTGTTCAAATAACATGCGGTGATCTTTACACAGCAGTTACTGAAGTGGTCAGCATGAAAAATACTCTTTGGATGTTATTTTATTATGCATAAATAAGAAAGACTCCAGAATCAGCACCCCATGGTTTACCATTGCTATTTCACTATAACCATGTTTGGAATATATATAATATATATGTGCTATTTACATAATAAAATATTAAGTCCAATGAACTGCATGCTATTCTCAGGGAAAGCATTTACTCTTAGCATTTCCGTAGTATGATCAGTGAAGTTTCACACTATGTTCCTGCATCTATTTGTTTGAAAGGAGAGGAACTCACAAGATGAAATCTGATACTGGAAACAAAATGTCAGACCAGCGACATGTTGGGCCAATCAGCGGGCAGTTTGACTGGTGTTTACTGTAGCTCTTCCTTCACGGTCCAATCACAGCCAAGTCACGAGCCACCAGCTTCCGTATTGTTGACCTATGACTCCATTAAGTGGGCGGGGTTTTATAGTCTTCGTGGTTTCTGATTGGTTCAATTTACTCCCCATCCCGTCGCGCATCAGGATCCGCTCCACCTAACGGGAAGCAACGACGGCTGCTTAATCTTTCATTGGGGAAAAAAGGGTGAAAGGCGAGACGAAAACGTACAAATTTGTCTTCGGTAAGTCAGTTGCAATTTATGAACGGCTCGAGTGGCAAATGGTCATTTTTCAGTCACAACAGCATCGTTATTTTGATGTATTTTCATCCCCTGAACCGGGTGACGGGGCTTTTCCTCTGTCATGAGACTGAGGCAGGAGGAGGGACTGATGTAGCATCTTGTATGGAGTCGGAGGCCTTCAACTGCTGTGTGACATATAGATATATAGCTAGTTAGCTACTCGGCTCAGTGTGTCTTTGCAGTAATAACTATGTGTAACCGAGCTGCAGGTTGTTCAGGTTCCTGCAGCATTGAGTTGTATCCGGTCTGAACTCGATAGCGTTGTCGCATATTTAATGAATATTCCGGTGTCAAATATCCCGGCCACCATAAGTTGACGCTAACTGAAGAAGACTGAACCTAACTGCACTGTATAAAGTAAAACCTTGATACGCACTGCCCTCTGTATGGAGATGTGTATATAAAAACCTATACATTTAATTTGGTCATATCTCTTATATTATATCACTTATTTTTTTATGAGGATTCTTTTAGTCACGTGTTGCTTTGACAACGTTTTTAAGTTATATTTGTATTTTTTAATGGCTTTAGGTGTAAAGGAAACACAGACGTCACGTGTGGAGTCAAAGAAAAAAGAGAAGTGTGTAGTGACATTGTATGTATACGAGAAACATATTGAACACATTCTGTGCTAAGGAAGTTAGCACCCTGTGTGACCAGCAGCGTTATCCAGAGCTAAACCCAGCTTTTATCCACCAGAATAGTGATAATGGAATTACTGGGTTTTATTTAGTTATTAATTTTTGTCCCAATCAAATACAGACTAAGCAAAGTTACACCAACATGTAAAAATACTTGAATTTACTGTTAAATAACTGAATTATTACTTTTTATGAAGTACTATAATCATTGAATCACATTGTGTAAAGTACAAATCCTCATTTGAGATGCTTTCTTTCTCCTTTCATCATTAGCCTCTCACCTCCAGCCAAAATGATCCACAGCCTGTTCTTAGTGAACGCCTCAGGGGATATTTTCCTGGAGAAGCACTGGAAGAGCGTGGTCAGCCGCTCCGTGTGTGACTATTTCTTCGAGGCCCAGGAGCGCGCCACTGAGCCGGAGAACGTCCCACCAGTGATCCCCACACCACATCACTACCTTATCAGTGTGCTCCGACATCGCATTTACTTCGTTGCAGTCATCCAGAGCGAGGTGCCGCCGCTGTTTGTCATTGAGTTTCTGCACAGAGTCGTCGACACGTTCCAGGTTCTGGCTCCCTCACGTTTTCCAGTCCACTTCCAGTTTACTTTAAATGACTTATATCTGACTTTAAATACTGTGTTCTTTGTTCTCAGGACTATTTTGGAGTGTGTACAGAGGCTGCTATTAAGGACAATGTGGTAGTGGTCTATGAACTGCTGGAGGAGATGCTCGACAACGGCTTCCCGCTGGCCACAGAGTCCAACATCCTCAAAGAGCTCATCAAGCCTCCCACCATCCTCCGCACAATGGTCAACACCATCACAGGTACGATCCATGTGCACACAGTGTTTGTAAAATTAAAATATTATGTCAAATCATGATGGTGTTGTTCAATGTAATGTGCTATAGTGTGTAAGCGAGGTGCTGGAGAAATGAGTCCAGGTAATTGGTGTTTAAATGCACCAAATAATACCGGATAGAATCAGTATCAGCCATTTGTGTGTACTGTGTAAATGCGCTTGGTGTTTCACATCTGGTGGATGTCTGTATTCCAGGCAGCACCAACGTTGGTGAACAGCTCCCTACAGGCCAGCTGTCAGTGGTTCCATGGCGACGCACCGGAGTGAAATACACAAACAATGAAGCCTATTTTGATGTAGTGGAGGAGATCGATGCGATCATCGATAAATCAGGTATTGCTCTGAACAGCTCGTTGGTCAAACACTTCACTGTAGCCGTGCTTCATTATTTAGCCTCTTTATTAGTTGTGGTTACACAGATCACTTAAAGGAAAAATGCAAATGACACGTCTCTTTCAAATCTCATAACAGAAATAACGTAGATCTGATAAATTAGATTATTGCATGACATGGACATTTTTACCATGATAACATTCTCAGCACATTGTAATGTAATTTGATTTTCTTTGATAAGAAAATGGTCAGATAAAAAATATTGAAAAGCATAAAATATGAGATATCAGCAGTTTCACTTCTGATTTATTAGTATATGCCTTTAAAATGAGTTTTGTTGTTTATGAATGTGGTTTTTGCTTTGTGTCCATTTCTCACATCAACCCCCAACCCGCCGACTCAGGCTCCACTATTACAGCAGAAATTCAGGGAGTTATTGATGCCTGTGTAAAACTGACAGGCATGCCTGACCTCACTCTCTCATTCATGGTGAGTTTCCTCTTTTCTCTCTCTCTTTCTCTCTCCCTCTCTTTTACTCTGTGGATCCACACTTTCAGACACGCATAGAAGATTTGTGAATACGTACTTACATAATTGCAAGTAAAATCTAACGAGTATCAATTGTACTGCTGGGATGGTACAGTAAGATCTTAGAGACGTGTAGCCTGTGCTGATTCTTTTCTGTCAAGTTGTTATAACCCTTTTATGCTTCAAGCTAAATTCTGTGGAAAGGGTTTAACTCTGCAGAAGAAGTAGAAGCAGCCAGCAGTAAAAGCTGAATGATCTATACAGTATAAGTTTGCACATTTCATTTTACTCACCCCTAAACCACCCTCTGTCTCCCAGAATCCTCGGCTGCTGGATGATGTCAGCTTCCACCCGTGTGTTCGGTTCAAGCGCTGGGAAGCTGAGCGGATCCTCTCGTTCATCCCCCCTGATGGGAACTTCCGGTTGCTCTCCTACCACGTCAGCTCTCAGAAGTCAGTGTGTTTTTTAATTCAGGGTCTCTTTGTGTTACTTATACAGATGAAACACCTTCAGTACGTTATCCATGTGTTTTTATCCAGTGTTTGACAATATAGTGTATGAATACTATTTAATTGTACTAATGTTGGCTCGTATGAATGTGACTCTCGTTGTTTATTGGCCTGCTTTATCTTCAGCCTGGTGGCGATCCCGGTTTACGTCAAGCACAATATCACCTTCCGGGAGGGGAGCTCCCAGGGACGTTTTGACTTGACCCTGGGACCCAAACAGACCATGGGCAAAGCGGTGGAGTCGGTTCTAGTCAGCAGCCAGCTGCCCCGGGGCGTGCTCAACGCCAACCTCAACCCCTCCCAGGGAACATACACCTTCGACCCAGTCACAAAGGTAGGAAAGAAGGAAGAAGAGAAGTGTACACAGTAGTGAATGAAAAGTTGTGGCTAGAGGTCAGTTTTGTTACATTGAAGCTGCAGGTCTCTAAATAATTTTAAATTTCACCAATCTTCTCTAGGGTGAAAGATGGCACCATTTGCATTAGTGTGGCCCTTGATCCCAGGTAGTATTGATCTCATATTGCCATCCTGATGTTTTGTGTTTTGGCTAGATGTTGTCGTGGGATGTTGGTAAGATCAACCCGCAGAAGCTTCCTAGCCTGAAAGGCACCATGAGTCTGCAGGCTGGGGCCTCTAAACCTGACGAGAACCCCTCCATCAACATCCAGTTCAAGATCCAGCAAATGGCCATCTCAGGTACACCCACACGCACATACTTCATCACATCATCAGCCCTGACAGTATATCACGCAGTCACGATTGTGTCCTTCCAGCAATTCTCTGTTAATTCTCTGTCTCTGCTTTATATTTTGAATTGGGAATTGGTTGACCTCCACACATAAGATGAGCTTTCATCACATCACATAGCCTGCTCAGCTGATAACCTCCTGACTTGCCCCATTCTGTGAGCACAGTCACACAGTGGCCACTAGATGGTGCCAAATGCAATAAATACATCTCCTCACATGACATCAGAAAGTATCTATAAGTAGATTTTAAGATATTCTCTAATATAATTGTTTACAGTGTTAAACTTTGATACACATTGTTGTCATTTTAGATTATTGTTAATTTGATGTATTTGCATATATTATTATATGATTTTCTTTAATGATCTTCAAATATATCACAATGCATGCAGTTATCCTCTTAAAGATGTTAGGTAATATGCAAAGCAGTACATTTTCAAATGATTTGCCCAAAATCCTAATTTCACAACTTGGAAGGCAACATTACTGGCATGTATTAAATGCTTCAAGTAGAGTTTTCTTTCTTTAGGTTTGTGCCTTTTCATGTCTTGTGCAAAGCATCCAATTTTCCTAAAAATGTATACCTTGCAATCTTTGAAAAGCCCAGAAGGTCAATTAACAATTGCTGCTGTTATGAAGGTATTCCCAGAATCCTCAAAGACTCTCTGACACATTTTTAACCTGTTTCTCAATTTGCAAAAATATTTCCTAATCCAGGTAGCATGAAATGACAGACTGAATGATGACAAATGACTGGTATGTTTGTCCTTCAACAGGGCTGAAGGTGAATCGACTGGACATGTACGGTGAGAAGTATAAACCTTTCAAAGGCATCAAGTACATGACGAAGGCTGGCAAGTTCCAGGTGCGGACATAAAGACTACTGCTCTGTGAATACCGGACCAAACCACCATGAGACTGAGGGGTGATCTGCTGGAGAAAGGGGAGTTGGTACATTCCCTGTGTATATGCATTTCAGGATTTACCTACAAATATTGGAGGCTCCTTGTAAGAGTTAAGAATGGACCGTTGCACATAGAAACCTCTGTTGAAGTAAACACGTCCAATGTCCAGTAGAGCTTTGACAGAGTGTGAAGAGTTTGAACCAAGTGTAATAAACAGTTCCATCTCTGTCCGAGCTGAACCCGACCCCAACCCACATGATCCCAGTGTACATTTCCCCTGATATATATACTGTTAACAGTGTTTTTCACTGGTAATTTTAATCCTAATCCCAAACCAAACCCAAGCAGCTACATGAGGCATTGTGTCAGTTTGGGTCAATTCAGGCTCCATCAAGTTCAGACATAAATGTCAAGCTCTAACAAACAAACAGGCCAAAATCTGATGCAGTATAGTTTCAGCTGTAGGTATCAGGTGTGAAATCTGTCCTTTCCACACAGTATTTCATTGTCTCTGGCATGTTTGTCTGTATAGATGTGTGCTGGTGACTGTTTTTCACTCTCCAAACAAGAGATATGAAATACTGGACCACTAATATATCAAAATAGAGCTTCCCCAGTAATAAATTGTGATAGCATGAGCTGTACAAAATGTTTTCCCATGTCAAGGGAAACTCTGCAGGATAAAACACTAGTCTTACTTACAGCACAGTGAGACACCAAACTGAGTCAAGAAACTAGTGTCAGTTGAATTGGGTGGATATGCTGTAACAGTTTTTCTCCACAAAACACACCCTTAAATGTTATAGAACATGGTCCTACTGTACGTTACTTTTCTCTGATCAACGAGTCCTCATTGCAACCTACCTACGAAAATGGATAACACTCTATTTCTTATCTTCCTGCTTCCTCTCCTGTCCAGTTTTTTATGATGACTTTTTCCAGCATTCTGTTTGCATTTCTGTTTGTCCCGTTCATGTGCTCCTCTTCCCCTCGTTGCAATGATTTGATGGTTTTGTCTGCAGCGCTGGAGTCAGCACACTGACATATGAGAATGTGACACTGGAGCCATCCTCAATCATGCACTTTCACATCTGCTGGTACTAACATTTCCTTTTGATGCGAAGTGAGATGGATGTAGAGTTACTGGAGCTGTTTGAGCTATTTATTACAATGAAGGTTTCTGAGAAAATTTCAGGTACATCTTCACTTGTTAATTATTATTTATTACACAAAACAAAGGGTCCATTCGCTAAAGTAATGTCTTGTGTACAATGTTTCCCATTGCTACATACTGTCATGAAATTGTTTAAAACTCTACGGAAGCTAGTTATTTAACCATATTATGACCAAACACTATGGACTGTTTCCTCATTAGTTTTTGCTCTCAACATATAGAAACACGTAGCCAAGAAAAATATTTTTGATCCCGTCAGTTTGGTGCTAAATACTGAGATCCAAATGATCCTAAAACGCAGTGCATCATAACCCTCACAGTCAGAGAAACTGTACAATGCACATCTTAAGACTTAGTGAAAAAACTCAAAATAAAAACAATATATTCAGCTATGTATTATGGTCTCATGGCCAGGTGCCTCAGTTTGCATTTTGTTTGTGTTTGTTAATCATCCTCCAATGGAGTGTTACAATGGTGTAAAAATAAAGATTTGATGTGTTACAACTGAGTGTTAACACTGATTATTGATGTTTTATACTGGGAAGTTTAGTATTGTGTTACCACTCTTAAGGTCCTTTGGGAATTATTACTCTTATTAATTTCAGTTGTCAATGTTTAAACAGATTGTGAAGATACACTTACTGATGAATATTCATAATAGCATTTTAATGTTGATTTTGGCCGTGTTTTTAAAGCATAGACTAAATAGTACTTTATGTAAATGTACGTGGAGTCATGGTGAGGTGCTTTACCCTAATGAACATTTTCATGCCAAAGAACCACAAATAGATGCACAGTGGGCTACAAACCGCAGTTCGATAACATTGTGGTCTATAGATCCCAATCTGAGAATTTGAATATAACCACATTATAAAAATGTCTGTATCGTGCAGTGCTAATTATTGAAAATTGACATTTTTCTGTTTTGTTCTGAGTATTTGAACTTTGTACACAGTAAATACCAATGGGTGCCGTTCTCAAGTGAACCAGCATCAGATGTTATTCTGCAGAGACTCCTTGGAGCTTCTGCAGCTGATAGTAAAGCTGCTTACATGCAGTAATCTGGGGACAAAGTGGAACAATGGCTGATGACTCTGTGACACCATCATATTGATATTGTTATTATATTGTCAGCCTTTCGCAGATCCTCACTCTGCATTATGAGAATTAAAAATATGTTTAAGCAGAGGTATAATGGAGTCATACCCAGCTTTTTGTTAGCAATAGTAATGGCTGAAATAGTCTATTTGTTTAATCTCTTGATCTGAACCACCACCACAGTCCTGCAGTAGAGGGCGGTGTGGATTATAAGGCCTAACCCTCACTTGTGATAAAAGGCAGCTGAGATACCTGAACTCTGTCAGCTGGGGTTACTGCTCCCCTTCATCTGAACAGAGCGAGACTCATTGTGAGGTTGGATAGCGGTGCCAGCGTATGTGTGCCCATCTTCTCTTATTGGTGTACAAAATAGACGTTTAGCCTTTATCCTCCATCTTGCTGGCTCTTTGGTAAACTTTTGGAAACAAAGTGCTCCCTGGCTCATAGGCTGATAAACAACGCTAGCCTTGCATTAGATCATAAACCTAAAGCTTTATTCTGTTTATGCCTCACCACTTCCGTAAAGTTCAGTTCAGTTATTGTTTATTTATTATCCCAAATTGGAAACTTGATTAGCAGTCAGGGGCACAAACAAGGAAAACAAAACAAAAAATACCAAAAACATTGTTCCTTCACATATAATATATATATAAAGTTTGATTCCTGTGCCACATGTTGCCTAAGGTGGAAATCAGGACCCACAGTGGTACTGTGCACTATTTCCTCTCCACTGTGTTTCTCTCATGAGGGCCGCTCAACGTCATCTTATGACCCCAAACATCACACTGGCACTGAGCATCACAAGGGCCACGTTTAACCCCTACAGCCCCGTTGTGTGACGTCACCCTCCCCCCGTGGTCCAGCTGGCTGGACTCCAGTCCATAATTTACTGAGGACTTTAACCCCTCCAAAAGACACAAGCTTTCCTCTCTCTACCTCTCTCTCTCTCTCTCTCTCTCGTCCACACAGCAGCTTTAAGTCAGTTATGTCATCGCGCTATAACTTTTCCCTTTGTGCACAACTATTTGTTTAAGTGGGAAAGTGTCTGTGAGCGTTTTCTTCGCAAGCTCTCCAGTTTTACTATGCTGCCTGAGTACTTCTGTTAGATTGTTATATTTCTAATCATTTTTCAAACGCTTTTAAAGGCTGAAGTGAAGAGGAATATCGAGCCTTTTAAAGACCAATTCATCGCGGGTGGTAGGTTGCCTCCTTTTATTGTGAATATTACAATGCTTTTCCTGTGCAGACTAGAATGGATAACTCGAGTTAAACCACTTTAATGTGTTCCCTTGTAGAACCGGGAACAAGCGAAGTGTCTGAGCTGCATTATTTAACTATACTTTATATAACGTTAGCAAACAGCTGGAATTGCGTGAAGATGCAGGGATGCGATTAATGGATGGCTTTATTAATGCTTTACTTTATTAATGCTTTACTTTATTAATGCTTTTACTTCATTAATGCTTTTACTTCATTAATGTTTTTACTTCATTAATGCTTTTACTTTATAGGATAATCACCCATTGCAGGTATTCTTCTCTGCAACGGGGTTCAGGACTGTCAGTGGATGTAAATCAGAACGTGTGTATTCACACCCGAGGAAAGTGCTGTGTTTGCCACCTACAGCAATTATCCCAGTGTGTGTGTGTGTGTGTAGATAATGAGCTTTATCTCACTGTGGATCTAAGGGTGCCTGTTAGGTTTTATCTGATTGCTGTGATCGGTGTGGGCTGGCCGGGCTCCCTGTCGGTAACCACGTGGACACAGTAACAACAGTAGCTCGAGCTCGCTCGCAGTCCGCGCGCATCGTAGAGTCGCCGACGTCGCGCGACAAAAGTGCTGATTAAACCACGTGCGGAGTTGTCAGGGCGCGTGCTGTTGTTGCAGTTGTTATGTAGTTAGTGCAGTCTGGGTTTATCAGCATATATTTCTATGCAGCGAACCTCACACTACTTGAATTCAATTCCCCAGCAACATTACAGTTGGCACCAGTAGCAACTAGTTTCATCTTCAGTCCTTCAAACTATAAGCTACACCATGGATCCACGTTGCTGAGGACTGTGTACCGAACCAGTTCTGTAGCCTAAATCATACTTACCTGTACAACATTAAAGGCAGTGCTAAATGTTATAGTGTAGGACGTGCGTTAGCTAGTTAGCACAGCTCAACATGCTAATAGTTAACATGTTTAATTGTAGGCCGCTGCAACATTTTGGTTATAGGTTTGAAAGGTGTAATTACTTTGTTACACCAACATGTTGTTAAACAACACTCTTTTATTTATTTTTTACAAAGTTGCAGTTGGTGTAATGCTGTCAGCCAAACAACCACGAACATCATTAATTCATTCTATTGCATTAAAAGTCAGTTTGTGGTTTTCCCGCCTACCACAGCAATGACCACATTAATGCAAAAGCCCACTGGGTAATGTTATAGTAAATGAAAGTAGCCTACGTGTTTTATGGTACATTTTTCTTACCATCCACTGCATTGCTGTTAACATCTAAAAAAACATGTTCAGTGCAGGCTGTGAAACCAGTCAATAGTAAAGAAACATTGGGTTTTCTCAGCACAATTCACTTTATTGACGGTTGACTGGAGCGTGTGACCACGAGACAAAGAGGACTGTCCCTGACTTCAACTTATCAACCCCCGTCTTTTCATTCTGGGACACATAAGCCCCCCGTCCATGTGGGGTCTGCCATTAAAACACACTATCTTCTCAAACTGCTCACGTAGGCCTCTGAGGCTATGAGCCAACTGCATGCTCTGCACTGGCAGCTGTGTTTGGAAACCAGACAGTGTGCAGACAGCGATCAGGGCTGTCGGACTGAACTCTAATATAGGGAAAAGCATCTAGTATAGTGAAATGCTACACAGCCAGTTATACCAACGATTTAAGTGCATGCAGGGTTATGAAGTGACATCTGGCAAGATAATATTTGGTCAATCTGAGAAATGTATACCTATACCATAATAACCAAACAAACATCCACTGGTGCGCTGCTAATGCCAGTTTGCAGGCTAGATAGCTGATTAGCTAACCTGTTGCAGTACGTAAATGTACCTGCAAAGGCCACTTTGGTCCAGTTGGATGCTGGTTGGTCCATATTCTTCAATACAGCACACTGTGACATGTAGGCGCCCTCTGGAGGCTATGCCCTTCCAGCTGGCTGAGACAAAAAGGAGCATTTCTGATAATTCCCCAAAGATAATGTTTCTTCTTTTTAGTAATAAAAGAGTATTAACAGTAGATTTCAAAAACATGTTGGCATTATTTCTGACTACAAAAAGGAAGACTAAATGTGATTTATATTGGATTTTAACTCTTCTGCGCAATAGCTCACAACATTTGGAGGAAGTATCAAAAGGTATATTCCATTCAAAATTCACATTGCATCGTATTTAACATTACAGTTAATCACAATTATTAGTTTACAGACATCTACCTTGCATTGTAAATGACGATAAAAAAACCTTGAATCCTTGAATATTGTAGACATTGACCATAAGATATTAACATTCAAAGTCCTGACTGCAAACCAAGAAAAGAAAATGGTAGGGATACTCTTGTTAGGATGAATTAATAATGTTTTGTGTTTTCACCCTTGTCTTTGCTGTCTTTACACACTTCCAGACTGTGCTGGGCAGATACTGCCATGACTACCCAGGCTTCAGCTACGCTGCCCAGACTATGGTGGACTGCCAACCATCCCTCAGGGTAGCTGGGAAAGATGGACTCACTGAAAGTTACCTACCAGATTCTCCATGGCCACCCGGGTGACCAAGATCACAATATAATAATTAAGTTGTCCTTGGAGGGCACAGGCTAGAAGACGAGATGAAGCTAACTTTTTTGGCAGCAGCCAGTAGAGTTAAGGGGATTCAGGCTTTTTCTAGTGTGTTTTAATATCTAGATAGACAAAGTCTATCGGCAAAGACTGATCCAAGTCAAGTTATCTCCCAGACAAACCCACAGAAGGTGCAGCCAACTATTCATGGTACATTTGGGTGGGATCTGGTGCTGATTTTAAACACTGCTTTTTAAACTTAACAGTGATTATCCATGTTTTAAAATCCCCCTAATTAAGAGACAGTATAGGCATAAGGCAGGGCAGTCACCATGCCCAGGCCAAGGGCAGGGCCTGATCCACCACCTGAGGACATTTATGACTTCTCCATGGACGCAGAGGAGGCTCAGTCTCTCCGCTTGCAAACGAAGTCCTTAGAGCAGACGTCTCCTCTGAGCAAATATATTGAGACTGAACACCAGCAAGCGGGC